AAATAAATTATTTATGAATTTCAAGAAGATATAACATTTGATCTTGATTTTGCAGGAAGGGTGCGATTTCAATAGGCAGAGATTAAGGCTGAAAGAAAAAATTAAGGAGAAAATCATATTCCAAGTGTAAGTAAATTAACCAGAGACTAGAAAATGGCATTACCTTGGAATAGTAATTTATTCAGAAAGCTAGAAAGGAGGACTTGGGAGTACTCATGACTAGGGAATAGCAATGTCACAAAAAACAAGAGAAGAGGGTGTTAAGGAATCAGTCATCAAGTGAAATAATGTAGAAGAAGAAGACAGAAGCTTAGATTTTCTATTTAGAGGTAAGTTTAGTGAAGTTGTAGGGGCAGAGGAATGGTTCAAAGGGTTAAGAATTGAGTGGTGAGAACAACAGACCTGAACCAAGCCAGCATCCTTGAAAGAGAAACTATGCAAAGTCAATAAATGTAAACATAAACTCTTGATGCTAAGTATGATCCTAGGTTGAAGAAAATTGTGAACCAATAGCTATAAAAATATTTTTACAAAATTTTTTAAAAAATAAAGAAGTCTGGGTGGGGAGGGAAGTGCATGGGATTACGGTGATGGCACATGGGTGACTTGGTGATGGGAAACCCGCGGGGATTACAATTGAGATGGAAAAAAAATGTACAAAATGATGTAAAAATAAACTGTTATAAAATGTAAAAAAAATAATTGGGAAAAAATTTAAATAGAAACTTTGTCAACAGTAATTGTAACTATATTGGGGGGGGAAGAGAGTGTTCCCTACAATTTGGCAGCATTAAATGTATTCATAACTATCAAAAAAAAAATAGAGAAGGCTGGGTATTCCTTAAAGTTCAACCTTACCGTGTAAGGTGGAGACTACGTGAAAAAAGGAAAGCAGCTTATAAAACTGTTCGCATCTACACCCATGTTATAGTAACATTCTTCACAATAGCTGGAAGGTAGAAGCAACTCAAACATCTATCAGCAGGTGAATGGTTAAACAAAGTGTGACAGATACATTTTGTGGAATACTATTCAGCCATGAAAAGGAAAGGAATGTTGACACATTACAACATGAATGAATCTTGAAGACATACTAAGGGATACAAACCCAACACAAATGCTGTATGTTGCACTCACAGGAGATATGGAGGTAACAGACTAGTGGTTGGCAAGAGTTATGGGGAGAGGAAGTGGGCAGTTGTATGATTAGCGGAATGGTTTGTCTGTTCAAGATGAAAATGATTAAGGTGTGAAACTGTGCTTTACCGCAGTTTTAAAAATGTAAAACAATATGAATAGTATGATACAGTAAATTTTAAGTTGTCATCAGACAATACTTTTGTGCAATCCAAAATGAAGTCAAGGAACACAAACAAAAACAGGGGGAGGGCTGTTGCATCAGTAATACCACACAGATAAAGACGAGAAACGAGAGTTGTGGGGCAGACCATGGCACACAGGGTGCTGCTGCAGAGCAAGAGCCTGGTCTTTTTACTGACAGAGAAAAGGGTGGGTCAAACTGAATAATGGATTTAGAGTTTTAGGGAGGGTGAGTCTGCTGACATACTCGCCACCTCACACAAGGCTCCAATCTTATTAACTGATCAGTCCTTGGGAGGCAAAGTATATTCATCAACCCCGTCCAACCCTCCTCTCCCCCAGCTTTCCTGGTCACACGTCAGGATGTGGACCTATTGCTCCAGGGTCATCAAGCATCCTGCTCTTGTCTAACTTGCAAGGAGCTTTCCGTACCCACAGAAGGCCTTGGTGGTTCTACGTCATTATGTACAAAGATACAATTTTAAAATCAAATGTTATATTTTGAAAGCTTTCTTTAGTTATGTGTTCAACATTTCTGTTTGGATTTTTTATAGATGCTTAACAATGGAGTATTTCTCTGCTAAGACCAATTCAACAGACCTACTCCAACAGTTCTCCAATCAACCGCAAATAATTCTCTCCATGGTCTTGCTCAGCCTCACTTTCTTACTGGGCCTGCCTGGCAATGGGCTAGTGTTGTGGATCACTGGCCTAAAAATGCGCCAGACAGTGAACACAGTTTGGTTTCTACATCTCACACTGGCAGACTTTCTCTGCTGCCTCTCCCTGCCCTTCTCCCTGGCCCACTTGGCTCTCCAAGGACACTGGCCCTATGGCCAGTTCCTGTGTAAACTCCTCCCCTCGGTCATCATCCTCAATATGTTTGCCAGCGTCTTCCTGCTGACGGCCATCAGCCTGGATCGCTGTCTCCTAGTGCTCCAGCCAATCTGGTGCCAGAACCATCGCAGTGTGAGGACAGCCTATGCTGTGTGTGGGTGCATCTGGGCAGCGTCTCTCATAATGTGTATTCCTGTGTTCGTATACCGGGACGTGATCACGACAGACCAACGTAGTATATGTGAATACAATTTTGATCAACACAGTTCTTTGGACTTTGCAGACTATTTCTCTAACCTACTGGAAAATGAGACTCTGGTCCATGCCACTGTCAAGCTGCCTGACCACCCATCGCAAGCACCCGATGACATTGATGCTTTTCTTGATAGGAATTTTAGCAACTACTTTTATGGGCTATATATGGATTATAATGAAAGCCTGTCTACATATGGTAATCAAATGACAATACCCTGGATAGCTATAACCTTCACTAGGCTGGTTGTGGGTTTCCTGCTACCCTCTCTCCTCATGATCGTGTGTTATAGCCTCGTTATCTTCCGAATACGACAGGGCCGCTTTGCCAAGTCTTGGAGCAAAACTTTTCGAGTGGCTGTGGTGGTGGTGGTGGTCTTCCTTATCTGCTGGACTCCCTACCATGTCTTTGGAGTGCTGACGTTGTTTGCTGTCCCAGGAACTCCCTTTCAGCAAGTGCTGCTGTCCTGGGATTCTGTGTCCCTTGCTCTAGCCTCTGCCAACAGTTGCTTCAATCCCTTCCTCTACGCCCTCCTGGGGAAAGATGTTAGGAAGCAAGCCAAGCAGTCTCTGCAGGGCATTCTGGAAGCAGCCTTCAGTGAGGAGGTCACACACTCTACCATCTGTACTGCAAACAAAGTCTCTCTGGATAAAACCTATGTCACTACAACTGTGTGAATTTAGGGAGCAGTTGACACAATTTTCGGGTGTTTACTCAGTGCGGTGTATTTCTAGAAGGACAAGGTGAGCAGGGTTTTCAAAAACCATCAAAGTATGAGCTGAGAGCTTCTCCAAGTGAGGTGCCAGGCAAGTGGTATCTCATCATTGGAAAACTTGTTAGAAATACAAATTGCCCAGCCCTGCCACATACTGGCTAAGTCAGAATCTGTGAGGATAGGGCCTAGGAAGTGTTTCAACAAGCTGTCCTGTTTCTCATAAACGCCAAATGGGGGAATTATTGTAAAAATTAGTCTATTTCTATCCCAAAGTAAGCCACATGGGATAAAGGAGAACCTATTCTGTTTCTAGTCTGGTGATATTTCCATCATGATATTCTTTTTACGTATGTTATTTGTCCATGTTCATGTTTAGTATGATCTAAATCCTCTTCCAGATGCCATTGAAATCCATGTTTTCTAGCCCTATCTGAGTGAAAGATGATCATTTATTCAGTGGCTTTATTTTTGTGGTGGTGATTCTGGTGTTTTTATATGAAAACAAGATGTTTAAAAAATGTCTGTGGAAGCAAGGAGTCAGGAGCCTGAGTTTGAAACAGAGCACTATGCCTCACAGCCCTGTCTACAGGACAGAGAAGCCCAGTTTCCAATAGTACAATTATGTAAGCATCTACTGCGCAGACAGACAACCAAGGCATCTAAAATCTTCTGCAATGGCACAGAAGCTGCCAATTGGGGAGATCTCTGAATGGTTACTTTCTGCCTATTGAGCATCCTTCCTTTCATTAACCTCCTTGATTTCCTCATCCCTCCCCTGCCTCTGAATCTTCCACACCAGTCTTTGTGTCTCAAATCATCTTTAATGTTGTGTCTCAAATCATCTTTAATGTTGTAAGATTCAAATCATTCACCTACTCTTCTGCCAAATTAAGAAACCTGTTTCAAATGCAAGGAGGGACAGGGAAAAGGGTGTGTACAGCATGTCATTACAAAATGAGTGAGGACCTTCTAAAATACTGTCAAACTTTTAAAAACGTGACCATTGGTGTGACCCCCTCATGCCAATACGACCAGCTGTATCTTTCAGTTTTCTAAATACACAATACACAATAAAGAGAAGTCAAGCCTAAGAAGGAAATCTGAGGTTCCTGCTCAAGTCTCCCCACCCTCTTCATTTCCAAGATAACCCTTGCCACATTTTAGATGTTTCTTTCGATACCGTATTTCCAAATCATATGCTTATGCTCCTAGTTTTTGTTGATAAGATAAAACTTGTTTTGAAAAGCGAAGAATTTTATCTACATTCATACTTTTTGGTCTAACAGCCCAAAATACATTAACCATAACTTAACTTGCTCATTTTCTCCTTTGTCTCTCCATTACAATCCTTCTATCCTTCTTTCATTTTTAAAAATGTTATTCTAGGGCCCTCCCTGGTGATGCAGCGGGTTAAAGCACAGCACTGAGAAGGTAAAGTCACTTCAGCATGAGTTCGATCCCCGCCCTGGTGGTGACCCACATAGTGGGGCAGACCTCTCCCGACCTGCCCGCTGCTCCCCTCAGCAGTGTACTTCATCAGTCAGCCTGTTCTGCTCCCCACTCTGTCTCTGGTGAATCCTCTCACCGCCCCTGCACCTCAGTACACTGGCCTGTACCCCAGTGCTGTATACATAAATAAATCTTTAAAGAAAAAGTTATTCTACCCCCTGACAACTTCTAATTTTTCTCTATATAGTTTCATGTGTTAAGCCTCTAAGATTTCAGGTTTGTTTGGGATACAATACAGTCTCACAATATCTTAGGTTTGCACAGCACTAACATTTGTTCAGTGGTTGAGATGAGCATCTGGATTAGAGATTTGTCATAAAGTACCATGCAGCAGATTTTCAAATTACAAATTCTTTCAGTTGAGAAATAATAATGTCTAATAATATATGTTTTGCAGTACTACCTTTAATTTTATCTGTTTGTCTATTGGATGTAAATAAAAACTTTCTTGTGGTTCCTTGAAAGACATGGAGATTTATGCATCCTGTTAATTGTTTGATACTCAGAATGTCCAAAATCCCTAAATATGTAAGTGGGTAACTTGCAGTAGGCTTGCAAGAGCAGCAATAAGTCCAGCTTCTAGAAATCCTAACACATCTCCCAGGTGTTAGTCCCAAATTCCTGGGGTTAGTATGTAGGCTATCAGGGTGAATAACATAGGCACAGTTATAAACATTCTATAGTTGGTACTTCTAAATTCCTTTTGAGAGCTCTGTTCGCCATGAAGAAATTCCTACAACTGAAATTCCCCCATTTCTGAAGAAAAACTCTGGTACTTCTAAGTACAGATGGGAAGTCCCAGACGGAAACCCAACTCCTTCCTAAAATGGACTCTTTCACCTTTAAGACACCTCAGGATGAAGCAAGGCATCCTAACCTATGCCAGTCTACTTACCCGACAGGGGATGAAGGACTCTCCAACATGATTTCACTAGATGTGACAGCATTCGAAAATATTCAAGCCATACTCTTAATTTTTCTTTCTCATTAACCTTACAAAAAATTTCAGGGTCAACCAGCCAAACCCAGTGGCAGGAGATAGGAGAGGGGCTGAAGATCAATGGAAAACACACATTCTTCTCTTCTTACCCTGGCAAAAAGAAACTTGAGGCCAGCGCCAGACAGATAAGACCACAACATTCTTCTTCTTTTTTTTTTATTAAGAAAGCATGCAAAAAAACAACAACTGTGAGACCATACACCCCCTTCCCAGCCTGCACCAGTGCAAAGCATCACGGGTGGTATGAAGGACTCACCAGACCAGAAACATGGGGGTTGGAGGGAAGGCAGAGGGAGTGGACCGACACCAGTAACTGCCCCTTCTGTCCCTCTCCTCCACTTGCTCCCCTATTTCCTCTTGTCGGCAGTGAGCTCCTGCAGTTTTTGCACACATCACCCTATACAACAACAACTCTATGTCAAGTCCAGAATGCTGGACCAACAAGAAAAAGTAGTATTCTTTCCATTTCATGAAGGGGAAGGGAAATCGAGGCCCAAGAGGGTCAGGTTTGTCCTGCGCCATTGAGTGAGGCAGAGTTTAAGGGGGCGGGGGGGAGGAGCTAAAATCCCAGCCCCAAACTTCAGTTTTTCAGTTTCCCTGGCTGGCCGCCACGGTTCTTAATGAGACCAGTTTTCAGAAGACACAGATGAGTTATAAACAAAGGACATTTCCGTGTCTGATAAATCAGTCTACTCTTGCAAATCCTCTATGGATAGGAGTAGAAAGTTTAGAAAAGAGGAGTCATCATTTGAAAAGGGGAAATACTGGGAAGGACAGATGGAGGTTGGATGTAGGAAGACCTGGGTTGGAAGGAGTAAGGAAGAGATGCCTGACATAGGGACCTGGCAAAAGCATTTTGCCACCCTCTAAGGGAAATTCTCCTTTCCCCAATGGGAAATAGACATATACTTCAACCCCACTAACCACCCTCCAACACAAAGGGGGATTCAAACCACTCACACCCCCATTTCTTACAAAGAACGTCAAAGAAATAAAGTGCTCTTTAGTTAACCGCCCTTTCTTGCCCCTTGACTTCACCTCACTGGACATGTTTACAAAAATCTCATATATAACCCCCAGAAAGAAAGGAAAGGGGGGGGGGATGAGAAAAAGCAGGAGAGCAAAAGTCTACATCTCTTGGAAATCATGGGTAAATAAAAGAATATGAACAAAAAGCAGAATCAGAGCGCACGGCCTTGTCCATTCGGTCTGATAATTTCCAGAGAGTGAACAGTGAAACAGAACCAAACCTGTTCTTCCCTCTCAAAACTACACTCAACATGAACATTATAGACCCAGTAAGCGCTCTGCGGCAATGAACCACAGCTGTCCTTTGGAAGGAGACAAGTTACCCACGTAAGTTTTTCAAGGAGGGAGGGAGTTTTTCAGCCCCCATTGAACTTACCCTTCTAGATGATTTACTCCCCACATAATTTCCTTCACCCCTCAAAAGCCTAATAGCGAAGTTGCAGTCCCACTGACCTGGATTCCCAGGGGAGTACTCGCCCGCAGAACGAGTAACTAAAACGTCCCCTCCAGGCCTCTGTGCAAGCCCCCTTTACCTCCTTGCCCTCCCACAGCCAGGAATGCAGGCTTGCTTCTACTAGAGAGGTGGCAAAGAGTCACATCTGGCCCTGGGACTTTTCTTTCTTGAGAAGCTCAGGAAACAGGAGGAGTGGCAAATTTAACATGGTGGCAGAATTGAGCAGTCTGCTGAATGGGGAAAGGGGGGTGGAAAGAGAATTTGCAAATACAAATAAGAGCCACAGTTCATTTCCAGAGAAAATTATGCCTATAAAACTAACATGGATAAACTGAAACCTTCTCTAAAAAGCTGAGCCCATGCTGGATGGCTGCTCGAGAAGCAGAGTTCTGGCCAAGCTGACCCTCTTCTGCAGAGAACGGGCTAGGAAGAAGCCAATGGGAATTTATTAGACACAGTAGTAGTCGCTCAATCCCTGACTCTTACTGCCACTGTACCTCTACAGTACTCTATCCCCATGCCCCGCCTCTTGCATTGTCACCCTCATGACCCCCCCATCACTCTTGCCCTTGATGGGGAATGAGGATAGGCAGAAGTAAGGAATAAAGGTCTAAAGGGACAAGGAAGAGCTTGGAGGACAAAGTTAGCACCATTGAGTAAACCCTGCAAATGCATGGCTGCCACAGTGTCTTGGATCCCTTCTGCTTGATAATATGGCCTCTTCAGCCCTGCACTGAACTGACAAGAACAGAAAACAGTGAGGGCTGGAAGGTGGGGTTAGCACTGAATGCCTCAAAGGGGAAATCAAATTTGAAAACTTTCTCTGTAGCTGTCATGGCCACATCTTCTAGCCAGATGATTTTCAATTAACCAGGGGTGGAAACATGGTGTGGGGACAGGAGACTGGGGACAGCATATAACCAACAATAATAATAATAATAATAATAACAATAATATAATAAGAATAACAATAAAAGAATTAGGGGAAAAAAACAAGAAGGAAGAGGAAGAATGAGGCAGAAAAGAGGGGGTTATCTTCGGCAGCATCTTACGGTGGCTTCTCTGACAGAGAAAGAAAAAAAAAGAGGATATATATATATATATCTATATATATATATCTATATACAGGCAAAGGAGGAAGGGAAGGGCCGGGGCTTCTTTCCCCGCTGCTGGACTTCACCACCCAGCCTGAGGCTGAGGTCACTCTCCACGATGCACTAAGTAATCAAGTCCCAGTCGAAGTCATCAGGGATCTCCTCACTGGCTCCAGGAGGCGGAACTGACGGCCGAGTTACCATATGGTGTGCTGTCAGGAAAAGGAAGTGAACAGGGAAGTGGTTAGGAGGCTGCTCTATAGGGGGAGGTGGTCAGAGCTAAACCCCAGACCCCGACACCAGAGGCCACAAGCACATGGCACAAATGCTTGTATAGTAAGTTCGCTTTATTGAACTTACCTCCCATCCAGATTCCATCTAGATACACATGTTTTTCATACCTATCATTCCTTTAATTTATGCTTTTACTGCCCTTCATGATGGGGGGGGTAAATGAGTCAGTTTAATATAGATTGGTCTTCTTTGGTCTCCCATGACACATGTTCCCCTAACCGGGGGGCCCCCCTTTTATGACCTTGGGAATCACGAGAGCTCACCGCCCCCCACATTCCCCCCTCTCCCCACCCAGCACATGCAGGCAAAATGCAGACTCAGAGCCAGAAGAAAAAACAGCTCATCAGGGTAGTGACTGCTTGACTCACGGTGAACCAAGTTCCCTGGCTCCTACCTGGGCGACTGTATCCTGCTGAGTCCTGCGTGGAGATCGGGTACATTGGAGATGGGCCGGGGTAGAGGTGTGGGGCTTGCGGGTGCCCGTAAGAGTTGACTGCCAAAGCAAACAAGAGTTACCTGAATATAGGCAGGTGAGAGGCTTTCTGCAGAAGCTATCAGCCCTCCACACCTAGAGGGAAAGGCACAGGATTCTAGAACTGTGAAATGTCATAGCTGTCAAAGGATGACAACTGTAGAAGCGGCATCACCAAATCTCTCACTTCACTGGTATGGAAATCATGCAAGTAAAGAGAATCTCATCTCCACCTGCTACGATTCCAGTAGGGGTCGCTGAGCAGACGCAAAATGGGGACTCATTCTCTTTTAAGAAATTTTATCTCCCAGGGCCTCCCTTGTGGGGCAGGGGTTAAAGTCTCTGTGCTATGAAGCTCTCAGCAGCCACCACAGCATGAGTTCAATCCCCAGCCTGAGAGGTGACCCACAGGGCGCAGCAGACCTCTCCAGTCTCGCCTGCTGATCCCCTCAGCAGTGATTCAGCAGATCCACCTGTTCTACTCCCACTTTGGTGAATCCTCTCACCCCCCACCCCCGCACCTCTGGCCTGAACCCCAGTTCTTATATGCATAAATAAATAAATAAAAATAAATTTAAAAAAAAAGAAGAAGTTTTATCTCCCAAATCAAGATCTGAAAAGGAATCAAAAAGCCTATTTGTTTGCCATATTTTCAGGATAGGGCTAAACTGATACCACACACATCCAGTCAATGGCAGACAGACTGGTCCATGGTTCATTTGGATCACTGCCCATGAGCTGGGTTTTTCTCAATTCTCTCTGCCCTTCCTGCACCTTTCTCTTTCTCAGAGGCTCCCCTCCTCAGCCCCTGGCTTTGTGTAGTACCTTGGCTCATGGCTGGCTCTTGTTTGCCACTGGTGAGGGCACAGGAGTCAGCAATACGGGCAGGGGCTGGGGGCCGGTGGGAGCTCCCTTGGGGGGGCACGTGACCAGTCTGAGTAAGGAAGTGGTTGAGGGAGTCACACAGATTGGCGATGTGGTGCTGGTCGAGGCTCCAGTTCTTCTGCTCTGCTTGCCGCAGACTCTCCATCAGTTCTACAGAGAAGCAAGAAATGCCAGCCTGGCCAAGATGCTCGTGCACCAAGCAGCCCGCCCCCCACCCCACGGTGCCAGCCACAGCCTGAATCACTGCCGCTGGGCATGAGCTCCAGTAGGAGCACATCTCTTGGGGCTCCGGGTTCCCAAAGTCTCCTTCTACTGGTTCTATCTGATAATGCCATTTCCATCTCACTGATGAGTAAAACAAAACTGCAAAGCCACAGAGTGAAGTAGCTGTGGTTTCAGTCAGTAAACAGAGGCTATACTGGAAAACCTCTCCCAAAAAGAACTGGTGAGGATAAACCACTGTCCCATTTTGAGCACAGGCAAATTCATGAATATTAATTTTAAAATAACATTAATATGATCTACCTTATCTAAATATGGAAAGGAAACTGACACAAGCTATGCAACTCCTGTCGCCAGACACAGTCCAGATGGAGGGGAAATGCTCTGAAAAATCAGAATTTCCCTGCTAACTTATGTTATGACCTCCCTTTTTTGTATAATCATATCAAGATATTCTGAGCAACCTTCAGTTTACAACTGGATCACCTTAGCCTCATAAGGTGCTGCCTGGCCCAGACATGCAAGCGCTGCACCAGGGTGAGAAATTCCTCTTGAAGTCAAATAATTTTACTATTGGCTGATTAATAAAAGCAATCGGCTGTTATAGAAAAATCAATATTGTAATATGAGGCAGTACTAGAACATGTTCTTTTACTGCCCAGACGGAGAACCCAAATCTCATTACTATCGCGCATAAGTCTTCTATTCAGTTTTTTTAAGAACTACTTAAATTTTCTACTGTCTAGTCTTTAAATAAGGAAATTCAGTCACGCCTTCTATTTAGTTTTTAAGGAAATACTTAAGCTTTCTATTCAGTTTTTAAGGATCTTTACTGTATTTCTTTTTGTGATTGATTTACAAGAAAATTTCTCCATCCTGCCCTCACTTTACTTTACCCTCTAGGATATCTCAATGAGAATGAAAGTCATTAAGTAGTAATTAGGGTTTAAGGGACTTTATTTTAGCTAATCTTCACTGCGGTAAATATAGTAATAATTAGTCTTAAATTTATGAAGTTATGCACCTGTTTTAACATTAATAGGTTGATTTTAAGAATAATGTTATAATTTCAGCTGAAGGTCAATACAACCCCAAACTGTTCTTAGAAAAAAGATGATCGTGATCTCTCAGCCCAATTCATATGCTAATGTTATCCCACTGCTTGCTCGTAATATATAAAGGTCTGCTGAGACCAGAGCAAGAAGACTTGCCCCCAACTCTGACTCCTGTGTCTTCTTCACATTGCTTCCCTTTGCTCCCCATTTTGGAATATCTGCTTGCTGAGGCCACTCCCATGTTAAGATCCTGCCTGTGTCTGCCCTTCAACAGCCCGTGATCCGGGCAGGTCCCCAACAGGAAACACTGAAATCCTCAGGCTCCACCAGACCACCAGCTTCTATCCAGCCTTCCACTAGCCCGGGCTTGGGCCTCCCTCCAGCCATGATCCTGGGGCCTGACCTGAGAACTGTGACTGCTCGATGCTGGACCAGTTGAGCCGATTGACCATCTTGAAGCTTTCCTTTAAGGAGTCGATATTGGAGCACCAGTCAGTTGGGAAGGCTGCAGAGAGGAAGAAAGTGAGTAATGTGAGTAGTGTGAGTCGGAGCCAACAGAGAGCAGACTGGCCACACGCCAGACCAGGGCATCTATACCAGTGATCGACGCATTACCAAGATAACTTTGAAATGCTGCCCCCGGGGGAGCTGGGGCCATGTAAAGCTACCTGTGCTTTAGGTACAGACAGACCGGCACAGAGCCAGGCGACGATGTAAAACAATTCCAATTTGTGCGAGAATTCTATAAATTAAAACTCTACTTACTAACCTAAGTTTACTCAGCTGAGCTGGCATGGAAGAGTGAGGTTAAAAGGCTCACTGGCAACTTCTTCAGCAATTGCACCTCCCAGTCAGAGGCCAACAGAGGTGCTGACCCCACCCTCCTCTAGGATTTTCCTGCCGCTCCTTACTTACCAAAGCCAGGACTGTTGATAGGCGTCTGGCCCTGCGGCTGCTGGGCAGGGTGGGAGTGGGGGTGGTGCTGATGGGGGTGGTAGCCTCCGTGCTGTAGTGGGGGCGGATGCATGGCCATCACCGGGGGCGGCCCATAGCCCTCGGCCCCAGATTGCTTCCCCCCTGGAGGGGTACAACCATCTGGGCTGGGGGTGTGCAGTGAAGGAGCACCCCCTACAGTGGAGGGGCCCTGGGACGGTGCCGGCTGCTGCTGTGGCTGTGATTGTTGGGGTGGTGGCTGTGCTGACGGCTGCTGCTGCTGAGGTGGCGGCTGCTGCTGCTGGTACATGTAGTAGTTATTTGAGGGCGACATGTCCCCCAGGAGAGACGAAAAGCCTGCAGGGAAGGAAACAGAAAGTGACTTGGGCAATGCAGTTTTTACTAAAATGATTTCCTCTGGGTTGAGAAGGGAAGACTCAAACAGCAAACGCTGATGCCAGAGAGGAAGGGTGTCTGGGTTAGCCGGGACCCTGGCAGCTCTGATAGACAGAAGGAGGAGCTTGACAGTGCGGCAACCACTGAAATTTTAGCAGAAAAGAGCAGCGTGTAGCTTGATGTGCTATTTTTCAAGGATTTGGGGATAGGCCTAGAATCCTATTTTCAAAAGCATCAGAATCTCCCATCCTGGATATTTTGGACAGCAGTCGATGAAACATAAAAAAGCAATTAGATATGACCGCTTTTGAGTGTCTGTTCCTCCTCTTAGTTACTGGTTCTACTGTTATCTCCCTTCTTTTTCCTACCAACAGATGGCACCTGGGTGGGAGGTACAGCAGGGATGGAAGAATTTCTCACGCAGACTAGACAGAGAAGAACGAGTGATTGAGACCAAGGGCTTTCAGCCCCAGCTGAACTTGGGGCAATACTTTGCTGTCTGCTCTAATCTGTTACTTCACATTTGAGTCCCTCGTCTCTACTTCTGATCATCCAGCCACCTGACTGGATTCGTTTCTCAAACAAATAATCTTGGTCCACAACTCTAAATAAGAATCCCTGAGGATCTAAAAGATGAAATTCATGACAGTCAATATCATTTCCCTAAGAGTGACTTCTAACAAATTCTTGATCATTCCCTTCATCTCTTACTGCCTTCGCCAGGGCTCCTCATAGAATAAGAGGTTCTGGCAACTCACCTGAAGTCTGGACTTAACCCTTCCAGTTTCTTTAAAATAATAACAACACACAAAACCAGCAAACCAAGAGAGAACCGAACCAGCGGATTCCTCCCAGAGCCTGCTAATGAGAACCTTAAGTCATCCTCACATGGTAACTCATGAAATTTGAATATGGACAAAAGATACCGATACTGTGTCAGGAATAATAACAACAGAGAAGAAAAGTCTTTATCACTAAGCACACATGCTGAAGTGGTGGGATTCATAGGTAGAACAACATGTCCAGGTTCTATTAAATGATTCCCAATTTTAAAAAAGAGTTGGGTAGTGTTTATTGCTGCTTTATTTACAATTGAAAAGACATGGAAGCAGCCCAAATGCCCAAAAGTAGATGACTGGATTAAAAAGATGTGGCACATATACACAATGGAATATTACTCAGCAACCAAAAAAAGAAACACGTGTCTTTTGCAGCAGCATTGATGGAGCTGGAAAAGATCATGCTTAGTGAGATAAGCCAGAAAGAAAAGGAAAAATACCAGATGGTTTCGCTCATAGCAGGAGTATAATGAATCAGGCGAGAAAATAACAATAATAATGAACAGCCATACACCAGAGACATTTTATGGAGGTGGAGTGGGGAATGGGATCAAAAAGGGGGGAGGGGGCTGATTTTGTGATGGGAAGCCCACAGGGATTGCAATTGAGATGAAAAAAAAATGTACAAAATGATATAAAAATAAACTATTATAGTATAAAATAAAAAAAGTTGGGTAGTAAATGAAACTAGACTAAAATAATGGTTAACTATAAAAGTGGGTGACAGAGACACGAAGGTTTTTTAATACTAGTTGCTCTACTTTTGCATCTGGTTGAAATTTTCCTTGTAAAACGTGACATAAATATTGCTATAGTAAAAAGTAAAATTGTTCTTACCAAAAAAACGTGGGGATTCTTGACCAAAGGGTACCGCTGCTTCCTCCTAGTGGCCAACTTTTAAATCACTTGCTCCCAGCCCTAAAACCACAGCCTTTCAGCCCTAGCAAGGGGATTCCTCCAACTCACTTTCCAAAGCTAAAAACACAGCCCACCGCCTGCAATAGCTATCCTTAGAACCAAGCCAGAACATGCACCCCCCTCTGTCTCTGGTGAGTCCTCTGGTCTACACCCCAGTTCTTCAATGCATAAATAAGTCAATCTTTAAAAAAAAAAAAAAAAGAAACTCCAAGCCTGAACAACTCAACAGCAGCGAGGGTTCACAACACGCTTCATCTGATCAGTGATCAGCCTTCCCTTATGATAAACAGAAGTCAGGAAGGAGAGAAGAGACTGCCACACTTGTTTGAACATGTAAGAATAATTCCATGCTCCCATCCCACAGCCAGACTCACCATGCTGGGATGAGGAAGAGGACTTCTCCAGCATGGATTTATAGAGGTTGCGGAAGGACCAGCTTAGGTCCTGAAAATTGATCTCTGAGTAGGAGAATTTGAAGTCATGATTGGTGCTGTACAGGGGAGGGGGCCCCTCAGCACTCTCTCGGCCCGGAGCTCCTGCAGCCACTGCTCCGCCATCCACAGATCCCGTGCTCTGCACAAAGAAGGAAGAAAGACTTGACCCCTGTCCTCACCGAGGGACGAAAGCACCTCATTCGCAGCCGCCATGCTCCATGCCTGACCGCTTCATCCACGCCCGGTTGTGCAGTGAGCGAGCACCTCTGTTGCCTTCTTGTCTCATTCACTCGTTCTTGATGTAGCCCTGTCTTCTCCCACGCTGCCCCCATGTCCTGCTTTTCCCTTCTCAGAACTTCCTTTGGTGCTCCCCTTCTTCACTTTTGAGCACTTTCCCCCCCTTGATCTTTCTTTATTAAGATTTGTTATGCTTTCCTTCCCCTCTGCCTCTTCTTAGCTCTTTTGCCTCCTTCTTTTCTCCCAATTTATTTGCCTGTGTCACAGATACTACTCAATCCCTATTCTGAACTGACAGGTATATCAGCTTATCCACCCATCCACCATTCCATCCACCCACCCATCCACCATTCCATCCACCCACCCACCCACCCTCCCATCCCTGTGCCTCCTGCCACCCTTGTCTCCTACCTGGCTGTAGCTGGTGATGGATGTGGGGTTCTGAAGTGACATCTGAGGATTCCCCTCTGGAGGCAGTGAGGCTTCTCCACTCCCTGGAACACCTCCCCGGGGGCTTTTGCTTGCCTCCTGTTCTGGTGAGTCTTGGGATAACTGAAGATTTTGAAAAAAACACAAATCTATGAGCACAAGCTAAACATCCAAGACCCACGGTTTCACCTCTGCTGTATTTACCCTTTGCTCCAAATACAGGAAAGGGTGAGATGCGAGAAAGGAGGGGCTAGCTCAGAAATGGCATCTCCCACAAGGTGGGCACTTACATCATCGTCTGGAGGGTGTCTTCTCTTTCGGGAAATGTCAGGGCAGGTGTCGATTGTCCAATAGGAACCCTAAAAGGAGGAACCATCCCCACAGAGAACAAAATCATTATAAGTGGAAATTCCCACCTTTGGGACAGCAGATGTTTGGGAGGATTTGCACATAAAATGACAGTCATATTAAGAAAAATGGCTGAAGATACACAAATCGAGGATACTGGCTATTTTTTGAGGTGTAAATTTGTGCTAAAAGCTCACTGAGTAGGTTGAGGCACCTCCTGTGGTCCAGACATTGTGGAGGGGCAGAACAGTGGTATTGGGTTAGAAGAGCTGGAAATGCCAGAAACAATCTTTCCCTTCCGTGTGCTCCAAGGCAAGACTCTCTTGGACTTTAGCACCCACATCTTGCAAATGAAGAGAACCATCCATCTCATCTCCACTATGAAGATTTAAGATCATGGGATTTTGGTATAGAAAAGTTTCTACAAAAGTTACTGAAGCTTGCCCTTTACGTCAAGATGGGGTGCACACACCAAAATGGGGACCTCAAAGTCAGCTTGATCATAAGTATTTCTATTTTTAAAGACAAATTTCATAATCGACCTTAGTCACCCATTGTGAGGGGGGTCACAAGCTTGATAACCAAGCTCTTCCTTTGAGGAAAAACTAAAGCTGCTTCTCTAATTAACATGATTTCCTCTTCAAGGTAATTAAAACAGCCAGCACAACTCAGGGACTGTCAACTACTCCTCTCTCCTTCCTGCTCCTCCCTTCAGCGCTTATAAGAGGATCTCACCTTCCCGGGGTCATCCCGAGGTCTGGGTACCTTCCGGAAACACTTGTTGAGCGAAAGGTTGTGCCGAATTGAATTCTGGGGAAGCAGAGAACTAAGTTAGAGCACTACACCAAGCAAAAAAGTTTCTAGTGGGACACAGAAGGATGTAACATATAACAATGTCCAGTTTGAGGATGAACTTAGCACCTCTTAACCATACAGATAGAGGAAATCACTAGCAAATAGCAAAAAACAATGAGATGAGAAAATGCAGAAATAAACAGGTAAATAATGCCTATCAATCATCCTGCCCTGTCCATGGAAGACACATCATTTCGAGACCCCCGTGGACACCTAAAATAACAAATAGGGCTGAATCTCATAGACTGCATTTTCCCTCTGCGTAGACTTTAACTTGTAAGTCAGACACAGTAAGATTAACAACATTAACTAATAATAAAGTAGAACTATAATAGTCTGCTATAATAAGAGTTACATGAGTGGTCCCTGTCTCTCTCTTTTAAAACCTTATAAAATATTTTCAGACCATGGTTAACTGTAGGTCACTAGAACCTCAGAAAACAAAACCACAGATGAGGGCACACTACTAGAAATCTGATTCCCAGGTGCTCTGGAAAGAAGATTCTATAGTTTTTCAGTCTACCTATTCTACTGACAACTGGTATATAAATGCTTCAACTCACATTTATCCAATTCCTTAACTCTTAGTAGAAAACTGCTTACATAAATGAAAATGAAATAAACTAGGAGTGAAACAAAGGCACATTCCATTTTTGTTTGCTCCACAGCCCACAGAAGGGTCACATTAGAAGGAAAGAAATATCGTTCTGAACTAGGAGGTTGTGGTAACTAGCAGGGAAACACCTACAAAGGAAAAATGGAATGCTTTCAATAGTCTCCAGCTTATTATCTGTTTTGTATGTCAAGTGATGACTTATAGAGTGAGAGAACTACATTAAAGCCCCTTGCTACTCAATAGCTGGCTGTTCCAAAAGATGGAGAACATCAGTAGACCTTATTTGCTTGGATGAGGAGTCCCTTCTTCCTTTATCTCCAGCCAAACAACTTATCCTCTCATTACTTGTTTGGTGGATAAGCTGTTGGTGAAGGACTTAATTATATTATTATTTTTTTTTTTTTGGTATGCAATATTTTAAAAGATGATGACTATGTACAGTAAAGCTTTGGCAATCTGGTGAGATTCCCACCTCTATGTAAGAAGGAGCAAGGCTGAGTGACAATGCATGTCTGTGAAATGAAGGGGTTTCCTTTTTGAGGAATCAGAAGAGGGTGGGATGAGATGGCCTCCCTGGGGGCGCAAGGGTGAAGTCTCAGCGTTATTATCTCTATGGCCTAAGTTTGATCCCGGCCAGGAAGCTGGCCCACATAGTGCAGCAGACTGCTCCTGTCTCGCCCGCTGCTCCCCTCAACAGTGTATTTCAGTCAGTCTGCCTGTTCTGCTCCCCACTCTGTCTCTGCTGAATCCTCTCACTCCTTGCACCTCTGGCCTATAGCCCAGTTCTGTTAAGCATAAATAAATAAATCTTCTTAAAAAGAGTGTGTGATGAGCAGTAGCATCCCTGGAACTGTACTTAGTGGCTCAGTCTCAGTGGTGTTTACCTTGTGAAAGATGTGCAACTTTGAGAACAACTGCAGGATGGATGAGAGAATGCGATTTTAAGTTCACGCATCTCATCTCTGAAACAGGTCAGAGTGAACTGGACCAGGATATAGGAAGAAACAAAAGTAGAGAAAACAGTTGTTGAATGCTAAAAATAATCCCAGGTTACAGAAGTGGCCCCACCTTCCATCCAATGCCGGCATTCTTGTAGTAGGGGAAGTTGTCACAGATCCAGCGGTAAATCTCACTGAGAGTCATCTTCTTGGCTGGAGAGGAGTTGATGGCATAGGTGATGAGGGTGGCATAGCTGTATCGCGGCTTGCCGTCCTGATGGACGGCTGCTTCATCTTTGCTCAGAGTGGCATTAGGATCTGTGGGTGAGCCTGGTGGACACTTGCGGCTGCCCCCTGGAGGGCCAGCCTGGGAGGCACTCCCAAGTTTCTCAATGGTCGCCCGAAGGGTCAACTGGGGGAGCCAGTCTATGGAGGTGAGGCTGCTCTCTAGGTCAGAAGCCATGGTACTTCTGGGCTCTGCAGAGAAAAGGACAAAGGGATAGAAAATAGAAAAGAGGGGTGATGCTCCTGGTCACTGAGAACAAGCGGATGCAAATCTTAGTGCTTTAAGAAGTAGCTTCTTCCCACAATCACTCCCACAGCAGAATCCGCCAATGGGACAGCCCTCAAAAAGGTGTCCCCAGAAGCTCCAACTGGACATACCACCCACAGCCCACCAGATCATAGCTGGTACTAACCCCACATCTTAATGTGCAATGTGGCCGAGAGGTTTCTCCCTTCTCACAGGACTAAAAGAGAACCCAAACCTCCCACCAAATTGAGCTACCCACCCATTCTCTTACTTAAAGCCCTACAACATAATAGCTTAAAACCACGTCAAAATCACTTTAAAAGGAACAATTAGCAGGTAAAACAAGACAAAGCCTATTCTATCGGGTCATGCTTATTCTATTCACATACATAATCCACAGACAGAAAGTATAAGCAAACACATAAAGGAAGAATACATAATACAGACACTAGTGAAGCATACACTAACACCTAAAGATGTTTCAAGTATGTTTGAGCACCTGCTCGCATCTCCCACATACTTGTGCACGTGAAGCTCATGAGCTACATCCCAGGCAGATATTACCTATGACAACCCACAAAGGGCAGACACAAAACAGAGAGGGCCCCACGGACGCGCGAGATACACAGTGAGATACACAGCATACATTACCAGCAGGGCACAAAGTCACACACAGAGGTAACAGATCCTGAGGACAGCTGCCTTCACACCTTTAAAGCTCCCCCTGGCAAGCTCCCGCCCACAGACACCAACACCAGGAAGAAGTCACCAGAAGGACCTCCCACCGCTTCAGCCTCAGCCGTCTGGGCTTCACTGAGCCAGGGAGACACCCAGCTGTGGGCACACCGGTAACAATCAGATAGCCTGGCTAAAAATAGCCACTCTGGGGCTAAGAGCTGGCTCTCCTGCTCCCGCCCTCCGCCTCTCTCCTTCCTTCCCAGCGAGGCATGCACGCTCCCTGCACCTCCATGCAAACTCTTGGCGCTGCCAAACCGCCCACGCCTGATGTTTGCACGCCCTGCTGCCACCCACACAGCCTGGGCGCTCCTGCTGGCAGAGAGGTGTAGTTAGAGTGACGCTTGGTGGGGGAAGGTGAGATCCACGATGGGTGATAGCTGTACTGCAGGGTCTAAGAAAGCTGGCGGGAACTGCTTGGGAGCCAGTGACACCCCCGGAGTGCCGATGACAGTCAGCCTCAAGCACTGGCCACCTGACGGGTCTGTGTCTGTATCTCTACCTAATCCCTGCAAGTATCTCTTCCTTGTGCCCCTGCTGACAGTCCCACCAGCCAAGCATTTGTCCTGAGCAGCCAGGGAGAGCAAGCCTGAGTTCAGAATCCTGGGCGGGAACTGAGTAATCTCTCAGTCCACACCCAGGTGATAGGCACGAGCAGATCCATACAACTGCACACAAGTCCACACACTGTAAAAGCTCAGTCCTGGAGATGAGAGCCTCCCTGCTCTTCCAACACACCTTTCAGGCTGCTGGCTGGCTCTGCTATTCTTCCCTCAATGCTTACCCCTTTCTAGTGAGGGTCAGCTGCTCACTCACCCCTCCTCCCCCACACCCCCGCCACCGCAATCTGTGCAGGTACACACAGGTACCCTGCCCTGCGCTCCTCACCAGCAACATGCAACACACCCACAAGGCTGAAGGAAACACCTTAATGCCTCAGGGGCCTGGGCAGCAAGAGACTCCATTGCAACCCAAAAGTTGCTTGACAGGAGAAAGAAAAAAAGAGGGGCCTTGCATATAATTAGCATCCTGAAGAGGTTTCCCCTTTACCCTAAGGTCCTCTCCCACCACCCTCCTTTTCAACCCAAGGCCACCTCACCCTAAAGTCATGGAAAGTTGGGGGGGGGACAGTTCATCCTTCCAGGAAGCCTTAGACCTCACAGCACTTTACTAAGTCAAAGCCCTACAGTTTCCAGGCTAAAGTAGGGTGCTCTGGGATTTATGCAGTCCAGGGTTATCCTACCTAGTGGTAACATGCAGTAAACTGGTTCTTGATAAACAGGCTTCTCCCGGGTGCTCCCCTGAAGGGGAGGTCTGCAAAGACATCTGACCCTAGTCCCTATTATCTCCTGAATATCCCTCGGAAATCTCAGTAACACAGAAGCCTTCAGTAGACATAAGGCAGAAAATCTCCCAATATCACCTGGGGCATGAGAGTTTGTTTAAAGTGGTTTACTGAATCCACCAGCACATACCGAACACGAGAGTTCTGGAACGAGGTGCACTCTCCTCTGGCTCTTGCTCATGGCCCTATGCCCTTCCCTATCCTTACCCCAGCATCTGGTCAGGATTCTGAGGTTAAATTTAACCTTTCTCTAGCACCCTCCCAGTCAACCCTCAAGATCCCTCCCGGCATTCAAATACATTCCAGTCTTACCAGCTCCCGATCTTCTGATCTTTCAGCACCACTCTCCTTGAACCCATCCCACTTCCTCACCCCATCACTTCCCCATTCTTGACAGGCAGCCTAGTATATAGAAGCTCAGATGGAGGGACCTGTGTTCTATACCCATCTTGACACTGACTCACTAAACATCCCTAACCACCCCCTTGCTCCCTGAAGTCTTGATGCCTCAGTTTCCCCTTCCATAAAAAAGGATGAACTCATAGGCCCTGCCAAAGCTTCATCCCTGGAGGGAAGTGAATGAAGCTTAATGAGCTCGTGGCTGTCACACATTCCACATTCCACGCTCCCCAAAATAATGGCAGGAGGCTAATATTTGGGGCTATTATTAGAAAGGCAAACAAGAGGTACTTCCATTTCTCAGTCCAACCAACCTAGTTACCCAGACCTCTCTCTCCAGGTGGGCCTCGTGCCACTGGGCTGGGGCAGAACCTGAGTCAGGCCACATTCTTCTCTGTGTGCTGGAAGACTGAAAGGAAATACCCAGAGAAACTGGGAAAGGCAGCCAAAGGACAGGCTCCATCACATCCACAGGGCGTCTAAGAAGACTACAGGACTGGGAAAGAGGCAGAGAAAAACAGAAAGACATTCTGTTGGCGTGAAAGACTGATCCTGGATGAGACGTATAAGATCCAAAGTAATAGGTAGTTGTTTTTTTTCCCCATTTTATCCAAAATGCCAGTGATTGTTTGTTGCACAGTGCCAAGGTGAGGTTTTAAGGAGGGATAACTTCCTGCTTTGTACATAATGCCCGAACTTACAGAGCAGTGGCTAAGTTTACCACATTACCAATTACTAGTTGGGCTGCCTGGTATTCAATCCTGGCTCTACAACCTACTGACTGTGCAACCTCAAGTAAGCTACTTAATCTCTCCACGCTGCAGGTTCTTCAGTTATAAAATAGAGCTCACACTGACAGAGTTGTTCGAGAATTACCTCAGTTAATACTTTAAATGCACTTAGTATTAAGTGTAGCTAGTATTATTTTTAAACAGGGGGGAACTATTAGAAACTAATAAGTATTGAGCTAACAGACCTTAAAGGTAGAAGCAGGAAGTCTATCATGGTTTGCATTGCAAAGCCAGCATTGAGTTTGCAATGGTTTTAGGGTGTTGGAGTCTTGAACTTTTCATTTATGGACAGTGTTGCCCCTATACTGACCAATACCAGGACCATGAAAAGTCCAAGTATGAAGAAATAGAGGAATATCATCCCTTTCTTTGGGGGGGGGGAGGTGGTGGCAGAGGGGCATGGAATAAGACTAGGTTACTCATGAGACATGATCTAAAAAATAGCACTCTAAGTCACAGCTAATCTAACCCATTAACCATCTGCCTCTAACAGATTCCACAGAGGCCAGGAGAATTAGAGACAGAGTCCAGGTAGTTCAAGTGTGTGGGAGAACTCACCAGAAGTGCAGTAACACAGGTCACACCAGAAGTGCTGTGACACAGGTCACAGAGTCATGGGACAAGTCGCATTCCAGCATCTGGTAAGGTGCTTTGTAAGAAACAGGCTGCTTGTCGGTAACACCAGAGCTGGCTCTTTTCGAAAAGTGGGGGAGGGAATTCTAGATTTAAGAGCCAGGATCTTCATGCTTTTGAAAACAGAAGTCTCAGAAATGAAGCTCTCTTATTAGTCCTGGAAGAAGAGTTGCAGTCAGCCAAGAGCTGCTCTGCTGCTTGTGATGACTTTCACCCAGCAGCTTGGGAGGGCTCCCACCGGCCAGGGAGGCCAAGCCCTTCCCCCCAGAGGTGGGCATCCTCATCAGCACCCTCTCCTGGTCCTAGCACAGGGGCACCTGTTTTTAGAGGCCTACCAGAAATCTATACTCCTAGGTAAGTAGAGGTTTAGTCTGAAAAGCACACATTTCGTCTCCCACACATCCCACTTGAAACACAGAGCTAGAACCACACTCACCCCTGAATTAAGAAAAGTATGCACATCCTTCTAGAGCCCAACCACAAGTCTCTTTATAGCTGGGGCTCACACAGCATCACCAACAGGTAACTTCTAGGACACGCTCAGGGACATAGGCAGCTGACCCAGAGACCCACACACAGGGGAGGGAACATTAAAAACCCAAATAGGATAAAGCCCCCTCCGTGGCCTTGCTCTGGGGTATCATTCCCCTCATGGAAAAGGTGTTTCTGAATAGCAAGACAGGAAAGCAAACACCCAGCTAGTGAGCCAAGGATTTCCTGGCACCCTTTCCTGATTTGGGGGGAAGATTCTGGGTTTTGATGACTTTCGTTCCTACCTTACAAAAGAAAACTTATGTACAAGATTCCAGAGACTCAGAACTGCACAACAAACAGGAAGGGAGAGGGTGAGACCATTAGGTGCATCTCTGAAAGGAAACACATTCGAGTCCAATCCTGGTAGGCAACTTATTTAGATGGAAGACAGGAAGGAGGCTGAGACACAACACGCCTTTCTTCCCTTCCAGGGCCACATTTTTCCTGAGAAACTGTCAAGGACGGAGGACTGGGCTTCTGTTAGTGGATGAATTTCCACCCAGGTGTTATGGGCATTCTCCTATATCCTTTCTTGTCACTTCAGGACATGTGGGATTCCCATTTTCCCTCTGAACTTTATAGGTAGAGGCAGGCTGCCAGCCAGGAATAGGAAGAAAAGGTTTCTTGGTGCCTGAAGTCAGGTGAGTGGGGACAGATTGCTTTTCTTGTCCAGGGAGCAGAAATCGAAGTGAGTTGGCAAGCACAGCTCAAATGGACATTGAATTGACTTAGGGTAGGGACAAGAAGATGTGACACTGCTGGAAACCCTGGACAAGGCCAGGCCAGGAGCTGCCAATGTGATTCTTAGGAAGAGCCCACTGTCAGGGTGAAACCCAAGGATGACCTGTGGAGATCTGGTTGGGTCAGCAATCATTATCACACAGGTGAGTGGAGTTCGGACGTGCAGGTGCTCTCTGATGTCCTTTTGCTGTCAGCATGATCACACACCCTTCCTTAGGGACCTCAAAGGATCCCCACCTCCTAGTGTCCCCATTTCCCAGCGTCTCTGCAGCAAGATGTGGAGCTTCCTCATCCTGAAGCTTCAAATCTTAGAGCTTCCTCAGAAAACTTTCGCCAGGCTCTCTGGGCTGTTAGTACTTTACATTCCCCAGTCAAGAACCCAAGAGCCACCATCTTGGGCCCCTACACCATTAGTATGTACAGAGGACAGAGAGAAGATAAAAGCACTCACCTGAGTCCAAGGTTCCCCCAGCACAGGGAGGGAACCACCTGGTGCAGGAGTTTGGGGTTGGAGGGGTGCCCCTCTTCAAAGGCAGATGGAGAGTCTCATCCTCAGTGGCTCTCCCGGTTCTTGGCTGAGCCCCCCAAGCAGTGGAGGGGAACTGAGTCCCCCGAGGATGAGGAGCGGAGGGAGGAGGGGGGGGAGGAGGAGAAGGCGGGCCTACCTGAGGAAGGTGGCACACCCCCCACCCCCGGCCTGTAACCCTGGGGAGGAGGGGAGGAGCCTCTCCCAACCAGGAGTTGTCTCCTCCCCCTTGGGGGAGTCCCCCTCCCCCCCAAACTGGATCTTTCGCGAGTGGAGGGCTCTTTCTGTCTGCTGAGGATCTGAGCGGAGGGGCTCTACCCTGTTCCACTGTCTAGGTGCAAGGAAGTTGAGGGGGGCTTCTTCCCCGCCCCTGAAAGGCTGAAAGCCGATCCCTCTTCTTTCCCGGGAGTGTCCTCTGCTCCAGTACTAGCCTGTGAGTACTGGGTAGGATGGAGGTGCCTACTCCATAGGCTGAGTCCCTCTCGCTTTTCCTCAAAAGTCCTGAACTGCTCTGAGTGTGTGCCTGGAGGGGTGGAGGCACGCTGGGGCGCTCCCACTCTCGTTTCCTTTCGTAAGGATCCCCCCTTTCTACTTCGGGAGGTCTATTCCCGGGCCAGGATGGGGATTTTCCTCGCCTCCGGGAAGGCGCGATCGTCCCCCCCAGAAGGGGTCTCTTCTTTCCCTCGCCCGAGTGATCGGGGTCTTCTCTCCAAGCGGGAGAGAGATTGCACCCGTCCCCGCTCCCGCCTCCGCTCCTGGGGTGCCCCCGAGGGTGGGGTTTTCGCACTCCCCGCTCTCCCCGAGCTGGCCTGGGCAGCAGGGTCCGGGAGGCCGCGGCTCCCCGACTCCCGGTTCGGGGCTACTGTGGCGCCAGCGCCTCCTCCTACTCCCGTCCCGTCCGGTCCGCTCTCCTCGGCGCGTGGGGCTCCCGGCGCTGCCACTTCTCGGGCTCCGGCCAGTCGGGGCT